TGCTGCCCGGCCAGCTAGCTTTCAATCTCGGTAAGTTAATGTTTTTCAAAAAGATAATATCTTCAATATTAATAAATCTCTATCAAGGTTTTTAACTATTTTCACGCAAAACAGCTTTTATCATATATGTCCAGACTATTTATTTAATGATTAAGTCGATAAAATACCAATTTTGTGGTTAAACAGAAAAAAGATAAATAACGCCTTCGTGACCGATAGAGCTTTTTTGAAACTTGCACGTTTTTAAAACTTTTGCTTCCTTTCTTGTAAACAAATAACGTTGTTGCCGTTGTTCAAGTATAGAATCAGATTAGCCAAGTTCTAGAGCTTGACACTCTTGAAAAGTCTTTTCTACTCTTGTCTTAGTCATGGAAAACACGCCACAAAAAGATGCTGGGCTAAGAAAGTCAAAGACAGCGCTGGAAAAAAATCTCCCCCCCTCCCCACCCCAGTCATCAAATGACTAAAGACTAAATGGCAGGAAAGGGGAGCCTCGTGTTTTTTTTTTTTTTTTTTTTTTTTTTTTTTGCATTGCTTTTGGATAAATTTGATGAAAAGGAGCATAAAATGGAAGGCTGTTAACAAAACTCGTTGAACTGATTCAGCAAATTCGGTCTTAGTGATGGTGAAAAATTTTCTTCGATTTTTTCGGTTATCATGTGTCGAAGCAAAATTATCTTAAAAAACAAGGGAATTGATTTTTAATTTAATGAGCATCATACAAAATCAAGCCTACGTTCGTCATTTATAATCCATCGTAAGACCTCTTTCACTTATTCATCCCAAGTCATCCTGTAACCTTCTCATAAAATTACTTTTGTTTTTGGTCCTCTCAGTTATTCAACTTCAATAGAGAGTTCTCGCGTGCGTATAAAATATCTTGAAGGGTTCCCTTCAACTAACGTGCGCGTGTTCATATATTTTTGTCTCGATAATTTGTTTCGTAACGTGACCAGAAATCTTCATGTTGTGCGTCAATGCGTTAATCGCATTTATTTTCGATTACCAGTCGCTGATAAGGCTCCTAAACAACTTAATGATAACTTATCTAACAGAATAACTCCTGAATAAATAGCCGCTGTTAAGAAGAAGCGTCAAAGTTCGCACATCTTTAAAATGTATTTTTTCAGTTTGTCTATTGTTAACCATATGTCTATACACATCATTACGTATATTTAGTCTCTTTTAAAATTTTTCTCACCTTCTTCGTTTCGTGTTCTTTAAATTTTGAACCCTAGCAAACTGTGAAAATTTCCTTTTCATTTAAAGGCAGTTTTCGGCTGCATCGTAATAGCGACTCATTACTGACGTATCATTGTTGATTTTTTGGGGCATCATTGTCGGGAAGAAAATTGTTGGAAATAATTTAATTCTGGCAAAGTATTTCAGCATGAGTTTGTTAAATGACAGGATACAAAGGCGGTATCAAGGAAAACACAATTGACTACTCAAATGTATTGTGGAAAATAAACAAAACTTAACGAAGGGCTCGGGTAATAGTGTTTTGTCTTCTTTGTCTCAAACCAAAATAAGTTCCTGTTGATCAAGTCGAAAGCACGAAAAGAAAATTAACAAACTGGGGAGTTAAAAACACTCGATTTGTGATGTGAGAAGGGAAGGAAATAGAGCCATTATGTTTAAACGTATAGCTGTACGCTTGTTGCTGTTAAAAGAGGTTTTAAATTGGAATGAGTGTTACAGATAATCCCGAAACAAAAGTGCTGGATAAAGTTTATCCCTTGAAATCATTTACCCAGCGCTGATATTGTGAATAAATTTCTGCATGACCCTCTGCAGCAAAAACCAAAGTTAACGTTACAACGATTTTCGCCAGAGCAAATCTTTGGCTTGGCCGTTTACAGCGCTCTGTTGATGTATCAGTTCGTAATAAAATACTCAGTGCGATGCCTTAATATGCGTGTATAAAACTCACCGAGAATGAAAGGCGGCGGTAACATATATTTTCTGAAGGACCAGTGCACATTTATCGGCAAAGGGGGTCCAAGGATTTTTTTTGGGGGGGGGAGGTGGGGGAGTCTCATGGTCTACAGGGGGAATAGGGGGGGTTGAGTTGTCTCTAATAGAGTATAAAGGGGAAAGCATTAATTGACTGTCAATTGACTGCTTAAGAAGGGAGGGGTGGTCGAAAGAATAGCACAGGGCCTACTTAGGAGATTAGTTGTATTTAGCGCGTGACACAACCAAAATCCTCGTCCGATTGCCCCCCCCCCTCCCCCGGCGGCTAAGTCGATAAATAGTCATCGGTCCCCCGGTCTTACTTTCCAGGCTCGATTAAATTTTATCTGATACTTTTTTTCAATTATCACAAAGTGAGGAAGCTGTGTTGCATGTTAACAATGAAACGCGCCTACGTCATACCCCTGCGCTTAAAATATACCGGGCGATCATTGCGACTAAAAGGTACGGTTCGTGTATCTGCGCCAACCTCAATCTAACTTAAATACCCAGTGCGAATGCTGTCCATTTTGACCCTTTTCACATTATAAGATACAACTTTAATAATTGCCTTTTCTCTCTGAAAACTTAACAAAAGTTTTCCCTCAGCATCTGGAACGGATAATTTGTTTCCGCTCTCTCCACAGTGATCACTGGTGGCAGATGTGCAAAAATACATCCTTAGGGCTTGCGCAGAATATGGGTTGGATTATCCCGCCAAAAAATACATAGATCTCTGACGTTAAAGTTTTTTTCGCAAAGCTTCACCGGTGTGGCTTGGAAAGGACGTTAGTCCAGCGAACTCGTTAAAATGTAAATCTGATCGAGATAAAACATAGTAAAAAATTACAATCGCTTTTTCTCCATAACACATCATGTTTATGAAAGCGGCTCATAGATACTCGCCAAAGAAGATGAAACTGTCACTCCCGATTGCGATGTAATTAATACTTCTAGAAATAATTTGCGCGAATTTGTTTTTCACTACCATGAATTTGCATAAGGTGGTAAGTTTACATGTGAGTGGATGATATCTTAGGTGAAAATAATAATCTTACGAACGTAACACTGTTCCATAGATCATGCTCTGAATCAAGTCAGGCGGCGTTGAAAACAGTTAACTGTATCAAGCAGACCCCATAACAACTAGACACCTTAACCAAAGGGAAAACATTCGTACCAGCTTTGTCTCCCTGTGTTCACAGCATGCTACTGAAACATGTTTTGCGAACAATAAATTCGAGTCCTTTTCTCTTCTTCCCAATCTGTATCAGGCAGACGTCTGGGAGCTTCTAATTTACTGCCGATTTTTGTATATGTCAAGAAAATAAACAGTCTTTAAATTGTGTTCACTACCGCTTTAAAATGTCAGAACGAAATGGAGTTAAATCATGAGATGACGCTCCACCAGAACAAAACATAGACAAAATGAAAGCGATAAACACAATTGAATAACTCAATAATCATGGCTACAGACGCCGTAAAAGACCGAGTAGATAAACTTGGTATCATTTAGAATTTTAATAGGGTTCCGCTTCACTGATAACTCTTGCCGTCTTCCCCTAGAGTGCTGTCGATAAGAAGGCTTCAAACGTCTCCGTAAGACATACGAAAAATTCCGAAGTACAGCAAGTTTACCAATAATTACTAGTTCAAAGTACAAGTTACAAGGACTATCAAGCTACGATCAACTTCTTCTATAACATAAAAATTCACTGTGGAAAAATATACTGGCAACAGTAGTAAAAGAGAGATATTTTCACCAATATCAAAGCGTCCTATTAGCTGATGTAAATGATCACCTGGAAATAAAAAGACGAATAGTTCGATCTGAACTTTCAGTCGGAGAATTTATCGTATATGTGAAAATTTGAATATATTCATTTGTCCGCTCGTTCATTTAGAACTGTATGGCTATCAATGGATCTAAATGCCATCCGGAAAAGTTCCCATTGCGATCAATGACATACAAAACAGATTCTACCGTTTTTCTCAAGTTATCAAGTTTTTTTTTCTCCTGTGCTCAATACACTAAAAAATAAATAAGTTAAATTACCTATCTCGATCAGCCGTAGGTTGCCATCTGAAGCGCAGATATCAAAAAATAAATTTATAAGAAGGAAGTCGAATTAAGTACAGGTGATGCCTGCATTAGCTTTATTTCAATTAACATTTCGACGAATCAGGGTGACAATTACATATTAAGTTTTTCCTTAAACAAAACAGAATCAAATTCCAAAATTACTTTCTTTAAGATATCAGATTTTTTCTGCATATTTCGAACCGTTAAGTTATCTAGATAGACTTTTCAAGTCTGTCCTTGTATATCCAAGTATAAATTACTAAAATTGCAATATGGGAACTAAAGAAAAATTTCAATAAAGAACGCCAATATGAAATGTGGAAAATTGATTGATGTTTACCTAGTGGCAACAAAAAGAAAGATAAACAGCTATAAAGTTTCGTTGTATATGTGTGGCTTTCTTTCTTTTTAATTTTTGATTTTTAATCAAAGTTTGATGAAAATAAAATTTGTTGGTGGGGACCTTTCAGTAAAAATCTCAGGAAGAGGCTGGAAAAATAACTTTGTGCTGTAGGATTCAGTGGTTTTCTTCTAATAATTCTCCTAACATACTGCAAGCTGACCAAACAAAAATTTCATCTTGCAATCTAGATACATTTTCCCAAAATTAATAAAGGTTAGTTTTCCCCTAAGTTTGATGAAACACTGCCAAAATTTGTATAGCTGTCTAAACTGAATTTCTCAATACCCACAGGAGAAATCTGAAAGCTGTTTTTTTTTATAAAACTGATTTATCTTATTCATATACATTTCAAAACCATCTCACAAAATGAAAACAATGAAAAACAGCATTTAAAGCATATCGTAAAGTATAATTGTAAATTGTTATTCAACAAATAACTGATACAAACCAAATAATCTCCATGAACCCTGTTTTCTCTTTGGTTTCTGAATAAATAATTAAAATGCACAAAAAAAAAAATTAGTTAAGAAAGACAATTGGAATGTATGGATACCAAGATAAAATGTAGCAGCTTTTATTTTTAAGTTTCAAATACAATGTAGCAAATATAACAAATCTATTCTAACACCAGTAAAATATTTCTAAATGACAAACCCCTGAAGAACATAAAATCTAACAATATGGTTTTGATTAAGTTGTCCTTTCAACACTTTCATTTTCTTTTCCTTTTTTTATTTGGTGAAATCAATATTTGGTATTGCTTTTTAGTTGTCATATTAATATTTAATAATCTATAACTTTGAACTAAATTTTAATCATAGATTATTGATAACTGTAAAATATTTATGTAGCTAAAAACCTCCATGTACCCTCCACAATAGTTCCTCTTTTCCCAAGGATGGGAGGGTGGGGAGTATCAAAGCATCTCCTGTGTGGTAGTGTGGGGTGATTTTGATAACAAGGGGTTAAACTGAAAAGAAAAACTGTTTTGTAAATTCTAACAAAAATAAAACATCAGCTTGCCACAAAAAATGCAAAATGTTTGTAAAATGTTTGCCTGCATTTAACTTAAACTAAGTAAAAATGTTACTTCTCTCTTCATGGGAGCTGAATACAGATCACTGAATCAGCCACTTATTTAGCAAAATGAGTCGTCAAGGATTTTTTTTTTTCTACTTGCCATGGCAACCAAGATAGTTCCACCTTAAAATGTTGCAAGTTACTTAAAATTGCTAAGGTCAGCATCTCTTTTAAAACTGTTCAGTGCACTGCCAAGTTAAGTTTCAAAGATATGTCATGAACTTTATTACAATAACTGACTTTCAACTTGCAGGTGATGTGAATACATAGTTTAATTAATATCAAATTTGGAGTGAACAGACCCAAAAGCCTATTGTGAGGTTTATCATAACTTAGAAGTTCCTGAAGTGAATTACTGTTTCATACAATAGTCTGTAAAGTTATTAACCTGGTTCAAGTATTCTGCGGGATAATTCCTGTAATGTTGCACATGACCTGATACTTCCCAGCACTTTGTAAAAACCTCAACACCTTTCTTCTTGTGTGTCTCAATGAAAACCCAAACATCTTTGTCAGGAACTAAAGGATCAGTGCTGCAGAAAAGGAACAACTCAGGACTACCAAAGGGGTTGGACATGGAGTCTGGTATAAGCAGTTTTAATTCTGAAGAGAACAAATAAACTGGTGGACATACCAATCCTAAGCCCACCCAAACAACAGCCTTAATCAGAGGGTTTGGTATGGTATCTAAAATTGTTGACTGTATACCTTTCAGACTTTGCCAGCCAGGAAAATGGGGGCAGCTATCAAATATGCAACCAATGATATTAATAGATTTAAAGTGCCTCTGCCCTGGGATAGATATTGCTTGTCTTATGAAGTGATTAACATTAAAGCCTCCCATACTGAAGGCATAGAGTATAAATGCTCTGTTTTGATTTGCATTCATTTCCTCTAGTATTTCCAAAAGTTCTAGACTGATCTCTTTAACTCTGTTTAATCGCAGGAAAGTGTTGTATGGGTTTGCTGGAATCCTGATGGTGTCAAAGCCTTTTTGTTCAAATATTTCACTGTATTTTGCCAGATGCTTGTCTTGGGCACTGTTCCAGCCAAGAATGGCAACAACTGGACTTCTACTTGATTCTGATCCTGTTCTGGTGACAACAGCACCGATCTTCTTACACTTGTCCTCAAAGTGGGAAAAACGGGTAATTGTTGCCATGTGATTCACAGAGGCAATTTGACAGATTGTACGGCAGAATAGGAAAGGCTTTCCTGTTCGCAGGATTCCAAGTGTCATGTTTGGAATAAATTATACATTTTCAAATGTGTCTGCAAAATAAAGAAGTTTAGTGCATAAACACAAACCTTACTGTAAATCTCACACTAATAAAATAGTTCATTAAGCAAATTTTCTCCAGATTCTCAATAAAAGGTTGTTCAAAATATGTAAGAGAAAATTTCGACCATTAACTTCCAATGAGTGATGGAGACTGAATTTCTCCTTACAATATCAGGCAGACAAGTTATGAGAATAAAGAAAAACATGGAGGGATTATTAGAAGATCCAATATCAAATTCTCTACAGTAGCATCACAAGAATTGTATGTCAGACAGGAAGGAGAATTATTAATGAGATCGTGGGGGTCAAAGGTTTAAGAGCGGCTGTCGTGCTAAAAAGCTGGAATATGAACTCCGAAAAGGTAACTTTTGTCGACTCCATTGAACAAAGCTGCTACACCTCAGTTGATTTATGAGAGATTTCTGTTTAACCCCTCACTATTCTAAAAAAAAAAAAAGTCGTAGCCCCAAGTGTAATCTAATAATTTATTTCCCATTTTGTTTTCTTGAAATCCAAGAATAGTGTGGATAATGAAGCACGAGACTGTCGGAAAAACTTGCCGTGATCTATTTTTCACTTGTCAATGGTTCCGTGAATTCATAAATACAAAATAAATTCAATTTTAATTTCAATTACACAATACAATAGTGAATACAAACGTCCAAAAAGATAAATTTAAAACTACCAACTCACCAACCTCTTGTTCCCTCTTGAGGCCATTTTGTCCAACTCAACTCAGCTGAGCCCACGCAACTTTAGTACATTTGCTTTTGTTACCGTGACGTCACTACAAACAAAGCTCAGAAGCAAAATGGCTACAAACATTTGTGGCAAGTTCGGTTCAATCTCCTTTTAAACAACTGAAAACATGACCGATTCTGATGAGGAAACGACAACGGACCATCAGCTGAAGTTTGTTCTTTTAGGTGATGGTGCATCGGGCAAGGTGAGTGTATCAAATAAGTTCAAGAAGCCCTTTTCAGTCCGATCGAAGATCTCAAATTCGACTCATCATCGAGAATATGATTTACATGTGCGCTGAAAAACTTCCTCATAAATAAGCTAACTGTTATACTCTTTCCTTTGTAGACATCAATATGCGTAAGATATTCCCAGGAGAACTTTGACAAAGCTTACAAACAGACCCTAGGACTGGATTTCTTTCTGGGAAGAGTTGTCTTACCAGGTTCGTAATTCCGAAACTTGAAATCAGTCGAACCAGGTGCTATTTCTTCGGCGCAATTACATAACTTTAACGATTTATTGCATAATTATGCTTTTTTCAGGGAATGTTCACGTCACGTTACAAGTATGGGATATTGGTGGGCAAACTCTCGGTGGAAAAATGTTAGACAAATATATTTATGGCGCTCATGTAAGTATAAATTATAGGACAGGCTTGGCAAACAAGCAGTCTTGAAATGTAACCCTTTCTTGATGTCATTATCCTCTAAGGCCCCGTGTAAATGCACTGGATTTGTCCACTGTATAAGCTCTCAACATGTTGAGTGTTTGTTGAGGTGTTGTTGAGCGGGGTGTTCAAATGATCTCAACAACGACTCAACATGTTGAGCATTCCGAAGATTTCACAAAGGCTCATGGGATAATTATTTGTTAAGTTCGGCCAAGCTGAGATCAAAGGCCAAACATCTTTGTCTTAATATCTGCTACCTCAATGTCTAGTTCATCACTCATATCACTGAGTGCTTTCTCTCTTGTTTTTTAAATGGTATTCTTTCGTGCTTACGTCCCATAACCATGTATTTTTTTTCCAACAATCAATCAGCTTTTCCGTTTCTTCCTCCATCCATTTTCTTGTATTTCCTCTTTTAGAATTTTTTGCATTTGAACTTTCCTGTATAACTTCTAACTGCTGCGACACCATCTTGTAAAATGTTCGGTATGTTTAAACTCCCAATGGATACGTTGGTCACTGCCCATGCGTGGGCTCAACATGTTGAGCGTTGCTGTACAAATGGACTCAACTTTGTTGAGCCACGCATGGATGACCGCGAAACAAAGGAAATGTTGAGCCGTGTGGAGTGAAAAGTTTGACCAGTTTCAAATTTGATTCAATAAGAATCAACACTGCTCAACAGGGGGTTCAAATGCACTCAACTTGTTGAGCTCAGCATGTTGAGAGCGTGTACGGTGGACAAATCCAGTGCATTTGCACAGGGCTTAAAGTTCATTTCTCCCAAATGGCATTATGTGACAATAATCAGTAAAAGAAAAAAACAGACGTCTCTCATGACGGCTTATGTGTTGATACAATAATTTAAGCCAGTCTTTTTTTAGATACTGTTATTCTTCATTATATGTTTTCATTTGGTAACTAAGATTTTTTGGGTGAGAGAACTGTGATCAAGGTAGGCTTAAATGTAGCTTCTAACAGATGCCAATCTCAAAATCTATGTAATATAATCCATAAAAGAACCAAATAATTCTACCACTATTAACCCATTGACGTCCAGTGCGCCCGTATGCGCCCATGGGGACCCACACCCTTTCTATGCCTTGTGACGTCATCACTTTTAACCCTGGAGCACGAATTTGAGCACCTACTTGAACAGGTTGAAAATATCTTACAGATGATACCAGAATGAGCGCAATTGAGTGAAGGAGATAGGAGAAATAGCCAAAAAACCGTGTCACTTTGACCTGAAAATCTGCACGAAAATCGTGTTTCACTACCCACCTACCTTTCCGAGCATGTGCTTTGAAAATAATGAGTAGTTTCTGAAAAATCTCTACACCAAATTGAAGCCTACTCAATTTCCAGCAAGTGAGGAGAAACTTCAGGCAAGGAGAGGGGAAAAAAAGGGCAGGAGAAAGAGAGAAAAGTAGAAGTCGTAAGTGGGGCATGACTTTTCAACCCAAAAACTATGTCGAAATTTTGCTCTCTGCACGTGCCCGAGATTTTCAGGCCGCCATTTTGCATTTGGATCGAAAGGCTGTCGAGTGCACGAGCTGTCAAGGGGTTTGGTAAGTTTGAGCTTTTAAAACCACAACAGTGACCTGAAATCTGCTCAACTAGCTTCAAAACACAGTTTTCCACAAAAGCTGCGGCCATTAATGGGTTAATGATGATTATTATCATCATAATGATAAGGACTAAATTGTTGGTATATAATCAGTAAAGAGAATCAATTTCATGTTGCAAAATAACTTAGATACTATGAGCCCCCTGATTGGTCAATAACCCATTGTTGATTGCACAGGTAAACCCATAAAGGTTGAAACATTTATAAATATTTTATAAAATCAATTTACCATATTTTCTATTGGTTCAGCAGAGTAATAACCCACTCAGGATCTAGGAAGAACACTAAAAAAATGTGCAAGTCACTAGCCTCTGACTGCTCATTTACAAACTTTTCTTGAGTTCTCCCAACATCCTACTTGGATTACTATACTAATAATTTAATACAAAGAGCAGTCTATTCCCTAAATTAATAAAGGCTGATAGTTTCGAAAGAAACTGTTTGGGGCTGCGTTGGTGGGGGTAACAAAATAATTTGGATATATCAAAAAAGTTGAAATGGTAAATTGGCCACCATAATGATTACAAAGGCTGACGTTTCAAGCGTTAGCCCTTCGTCGGAGCTCCTCCCTTCGCTCCGACGAAGGGCTAACGCTCGAAACGTCAGCTTTTGTAATCGTTACGGTGGCCAATTTACCATTTCAACTTTGTTGATATTCCCTAAATTGCCATGGAGACCACATATGCCATTCCTCTGCAGGCTGTACTACTGGTGTATGATGTAACAAACCAGGACAGTTTTGATAACCTTGAGGACTGGTATGATACAGTGAAGAAGCTTTGTGAAAAAGATGGCTCTAGATTACCTCATATAGCACTTGTAGCTAATAAAGGTAAGTGATACGTCAGGGTTTCATACAGTTATTTCCGATCAAAAGGGCTGTGTTTTTTCATCAGTGTTGCGAAGATAAATTAATGTTTGTAAATAGAATAAGAAAGATGGCAAATTTATTCTGGTGACATTGAATGTGCAATTCAGGGGTGATATTGTAGAGAGAATTTAGATGCTAGTCTGTCTAAGGGGTCAATAGATTAAGTGACATATCAGTAACATTTTCTTTCAACACTTTTTTTACCATCCCTTTAGTTGACCTGGAGCATTTAAGAGTTGTCAGATCAGACAAACATGGAAAATTTGCTCAAGAGCATGGGTTGTCCAGGTAAGACTTTGGAGTCTTGTGATGTTCAGTCTCCATTTTCTAGATTTACCTCTCTCCCCAGTTACTATTGAATTTGTAGTTTGTGACTTCATTTTAATGCCTGATGTACAATTGAGCATTTTAACTTCTGGCACAGGAGAATTGAGTTCTTTGAATTTATAGTAAAAGAAAGATATTGTTATTTTTGTCTTTAGTTACTATGTATCTGCCAAGACAGCAGACCAGGTAATTTTTTTCTTTTCATTTTTTTTCCAAAACATTAAGATTAAATGTAATGCTTTTTGTAAATGATATTCTACTGTTTTCACAACTTACAACATGAGGACATCTTTCATGAGTGTGTTTCGCTATTTGTTACAAACAGATCAGCCTCTGCTTTCAAAAAATAGCAGCAGAAGTGTTAGGAATACGACTTACAAAGAATGAAATGGAGCAGCAATCTGTATCCTCTGCAAACTATGTTATACAACTATACCAAGTCTAAGAAATACTTTTGAACAGTGTTGTTAGATTGTGATGTTTTCTTGCTTGTCTCAAGTTGCATGATTTCAGAGCTCTCAAGGTCTCACCCATAGAGCATGAGACTTGTGCAAATAAATTCAATCTTAGGCTTGCACTCTGAAACTACTTTTACTCAGTCATTTAAGGTTTCTGAGGTTTCTTAAGGCTTCTAAGGTTCCTCTCTCTAGGGTTTAAGGTTTATTTTTAGATGCGGTACTCCTTCTCCCCTTCATATTCACTTCAAATTCTCTTCAACCGTGGATGTTCTCGTGGAGAGCCATTGTTACAACAGTCAGTGGTTTTAATTACTATTACACCTGCTCACATGCAGACTGCAGACTTGTAATGCTCTTTCCACAAACTCTCAGGATAAAGGAATAGACATCGTAGCTACCTACTTTTTATTAAATTGTTCTGGGGAGTACATCCCATCCCCCCTTCCATTCCAGAAAAGTGATGCCCACACATTTCCAGTTGATGGCTATGTGGCCAAAAATGTCACTCTTGTGAGCTCTGTGTTCTTGAAGTTGAGTTTGAGACTGAAAAAGGAGTTCTGATTCTCTATTTTCCTTGACATTGTTCTTAGAGAGTTATAAAGGCTGATATCATACAGTATGGAAATCATGAAATGCCATCAAGAGCTGCATCATCCCAAACCAAGAGTTCCTTTTGCTCTGTTCAGTAGCTTCTGCAGATGCATGTTAAAACTACTTTCTGGTCTAAAATGAAAGTACTTATTATGAAAACCAACCTCAAAGTTTGGGGAGGGGAGGGTACTCTGTCCTTTAGAGTGTGACTACCTCTAGCTCTAGCCTCTAGGAAAGAATCTTGTGCAGCAAGAACTAAGTACTGCAATTTTTAAGGCATTGAGTAGAAGACGGGTTTTGATTTACATGGTACCCTGCTCAGAGTTTTTATTTAGAAATGTTGTGGTTGAAGATTAGCACTAAGTAAAAGGAGAATACTTTCCACTTCTGAGTACAAATTAACTCATGCAATTAAAATGTAGCCAGATAATTTTATGTGGTAGGGGGAAAATTCTGACCTCCAATGCTTAATGAACTCCCTGGTCCTATGAAGGCCAACATACTTCATACCCCTGTATACTTCATTGGTTCTATGACTGTGCTGCTTTCCGTCAAATTGAAGCTCAATCCTGTCTTGTCAATGCTCTTAGTGAATATCAACAATGCCACAGAATCAATAATTGACCTAAAAAGTGTTAACTGACTGCATGCATCACGTATCTAAATTTTATACTTTGTGTTAAATTTTATGATTGTATCATTTTTCATGGTAATATGGTATTGGAACAATATTATCCTGTTTTTGTTGTTGTACAGTGTACATTGTTTCAATAAATCTCATAAATGTGTGCATTGAGAATGAATAACCATTCAAAGTTGACCACTTGAATGCCATAACTCTTTGACCCATTCCACTCTCAAGATTTTCTTATAAATTATCCCCTCTCTTTTGCAAACATGTCTAATAATTTCAGCTCAAAGAAGTTAGAGTTAGATAAAAATATCAAGATTGGTATTTTTCTTTCCTCTCGATGCCTTTTTGCACCATAGATATAGGTGGGAGAAATTCCTTTTTGGCCAATCCTGAATGAGATTTAATAACCGGAAAAAGGACTGTGACCTAAAACTTCCTGTAAAAGGAAGAGGGGAGGGGGGGTGAAATCATAAATCACCGTTTTGGTCAAGGAGTTAGGGCTAGGGCAAAGGAGTAAGCCAGGTTACACAGGGAACAGAAAGGGATGCCTAAGGACCCCCTATAACATGCCCTCTCAAGGAGGCATTGCAAGAGCAGGTTATAAATAAAAGCAATGTCAAAAGGACTCAGCATCATGGGCATACTTTTCCAGAGATGTGGTCAGACTTTAATTTTGTCATTATTTTACAAATTGCTTTGGTTCGTTACAAAAAAAGGGGGGGGGGAAGAAACTTTTCACCCTACCCACAGGCTCATCAACAATTTTCTTCACTTTTGATTAAAACTAAAAAATTTAAGCAATTTGGCGTTAGTGGCTTGAATTGAGGTATGGAATGACGGAACAAAAGAAACATTAATTAAAAACACCGGAGCTTGAAATAATCGCCAAGAGAAAAGGTTTACTGAACAAAGCACCCGAAAGATACCCGTATGAAGGTGCAGGCTTCCTAACGACTCACACCTCACAATGAAAATGATAAACGTTGACCATTTTCCTTTCAGTGAGTGAAACCATCTCTCCATATGAAAACAATAAATTTTTGATAGTCAACTAGCCTGCAGAGCAGGCGTTCTTGTGGAGTTAGGGAGAAAATTAGGACTTTGGGTTTTCTGTTTTATTTTCCAGACCACACGTAAAACGGAGCAAGGCGAAAAATTAGGAGGCGGGGGAAAGGGGGAGAGGAGAGAAGGGAATCCTTCCCCCTAGCCCTAACTTCTCCCCCTCCCCCCACCTTCTAATTGTTCGCCTCGCTCCATTTTACACATGGTCTGGAAAATAAAACAGAAAGCCTAAAGTCCTAATTTTCGCCCAAAATTCACAAGAATGCCTGCTCTGCAGGCTAATAGACCACTTTCATAAATGGCTGCCAGATTAATATTCTTTTGTTTAAATTTAAATTAGCCCTACTGGCCTCGCTTGAGATGATGTATTCTTTTGAATTTTGTACTGGAGAACGAGGCTAGTGGGGCTAATTTAAATTTAAACAAAAGAATATTAATCCGGCAGCCATTTATGAAAGTGGTCCATAGGCCCACCTACTGGCAAACACAAAAAACCCCATAAGATTCTAAGCTGCCCCCCCCCCTCAGTTATAGGCCCACCTACTGGCAAACAAAAACCAAATAATCAGATTATAAGCTGCCCCCCCCCAACT